AACTTCCTACCTAGTGTAGACAGATGTAATGGTGTGGGGGTTGGGGGGGGGGGAGGTAGTTGAGGCAGATAGTTGGCGGGACAACACATGATCTTAAGACAACCAGTGTTTCTTCCAGACTTTTTTCTCCGGGGGGCACTTAAAAATTTCGGGGGGGGGGGGGGCGGTAGACTTTCTTCAGGAGGGGCAGACACTGTTAAAACTACATATTTTCTATATAAATTATATAAGTTTTATTTCGTTCGGGGGGGGGGGGCGGTAAATTTTTTCGGGGGTGGGGGGGGGGCGGAGCTGCCTGGAAGAAACTCTGAAGACAACGTACTGCGTATTAATAATTTTAGACCAAATTATACATTTCTTTAATCGGTTTATATTATTATTATGTCAAGTATGGACACCATGCACAGAACACAGCTTTTTTTATAATTTGGAGCTGTGACACAATATTGGAATACTTATCCTTCATCAGCATCACACAACACATGATTTTAGCTAATGCACAATCCCCAAAAAAAAAACGTTATAGATTTTTACAACAGCTTAAAATAAATTAATGTACACCACTATTGCATGTGTTCGATCGTACATGCTCACATCACGTGCACCAAACTTAAATACTCGTCTGTGTGCACTTTGTATTTCACAGTTTTAATCTATTTGAGGTATGTGACGTCAAGCAACGGATAATGAGTTGATTTTGTGTGTAGGTTAAGACAAGGACACTACCCTTACGCCGACCATCCCCGGTAATTCCTCCCACCCCCAGACATTACCCCCAGGTAAATTACACACACACACACACCGATTAATTAACACTTTATGTAATAACCCTGTCCAAAACATGTATTGGTGCATTAAATCTCTAACCGTAACAAAATAGCAGTTAACCTGATCAGAATCTTAAACTTAACCCAATACAAATCTTAACAGGAGCAGGGGTTTGAAGTTTAGCTAGATTTATGGTTTTTAGCAGTGCTTCTTAAACTTTTAAGGGTAACGAACCCCACCAATATCATATGTGCATTAACCGAACTCTTGTTAGTTATATTGTCAGCACTACCAAAATCCGTTCGTGTACCACAGGGTTCTCCAAACTACGGCCCGCGGGCCGGATGCGGCCCGCGATGTCCTCTCATCCGGCCCGCGGAGATCTTTTTGTCCAAGGAAAAAACGTTTGTTGGTGATGGCTGAGGAACTTTGCACAGAAAAATCAAAGACATGCCGGGAAGAAACTGGCCCCCGAACTGAAATTAGATCGTTAATGCGGCCCTCGGACTGAAAAGTTTGGAGACCCCTGGTGTACCATATGAGTCGGGTCTGTATCTTGACTTCCGCCGAACCCCTGAGAATGACTTACAGAACCCCTGGTGTTCGATCGAACCTAGGTTTAGAACCACTTATTTATGGTTAGTATTAGTTTCAGGGTATACACAAATTATTTTCTATCCCAATTTTTTTATGTTTGGCATTATATACATAACTTAGACAAAGAAGAATTACGGTTGATTTCCTTCTGTGTCGGTCTGTTTCCTTATCCTATATCGTGCCTAGTTTCTGTAGAATATAGATTTCGAACTTTGCTAATTAATGTATAATAGGTATTAAATGCCAGGTAAGTAATTTCCTTGGGTAATATCGACAACGGCACAGCCTCTCCGACCTTGTGTGATCACTGGATATAATAGGCTAAGACATACGCTTGATTCTATAGCAACAAGTTAACGGTAAACCAATAATCACTAGTTTAAATAAACATGGAGTGATCTCCATTAAACTTTCTCGAATATTCTAATATAACAATACGGGGGATGGCATTATTGTCTATGTTCCGCTGGGGACAATATTTTTAATCCATTTTTAATTACTTAAACTTTTTAAAATAGAATAGAATCTCGTAAACAGAAAAGAATTGCACACCAAGTGAACGCCAAATAAAATGTACATAATAGTGCGAGTTATTATTAGTACTTCATAAATTCACATGCGTTTTTTTTTTTTTAAATCGGAAAGAGCGTAAATTACAACTTCCGGTCGACGGAAATTACTCAAAATTTGATGGAAGGCAGAGATTCGAAATTTTACTTACATATGAAATTTCATTTATCTCTCCGAAATAGAACTCAAGTTATAGGCTTTAGAAAAATTCAAAGTAGAAAAAGTTCCACTTCCGGTTATCGAAAATCGCTCAAAAGTTGGGACGGATCTACTATTTTGATATAATTTTTATATATGAAATTTCATCAACCTAGCTGGAACGGTACTCAAGTTATCGTGTTTACACACAGACACACAGACACACTTTCACACAGACATACCGACAAGATTACAAAACTATGTTTTTCCGACTCAGGGAGCCCTAAAACGTCGGGATTTGTAAAAATCTGGATTTTTTTTTTGTTTGCACGATTACAAGACTTTCTCTATACTTCGTATATACGAGAAAGTAAAAAAAAGAAGCCTGTATATTATCTGTGAAGTCGATCCCCATGGGGATAAACTGGCGTGGGGTGGGGGGTAGTGTGACTGACCTAATCTAGTGATTGGAAATATTACGTAAAGACGTATCGTTAATTATTTAACTCTGTAATAACGGTATACAAAATTTTCGTTATCGATTTATTATGCGCAGTCATCATATCTTTGTAATTTACAACTGAAATAAAATGAGTTATTTTCCTTTAATAAAAAATTAATAGTGTTTACTTACTATTATTGTTTTTTTAGTTGAAAAAATAATTTAACAGCATTTAATAAATCTGTGATTTGTTGACAGTGTGTGTAGGGGGGGGGGGGTGGGGTCAGAGGCGTAGAGAGGCTTTCCGGTGCCCGGGGACAAACTTACGATTTACACCCCCCCCCAGCCCTCTTGAACTTTTGATTTGCACCCCCTCCCCTCAAACTTTCAATTTGTTTTTCCAACCCATTTTGACGTCCCCCCTAAGGTCGGCGCCCAGCCGGGGATATATGTCCCCCCCCCCGCCCCCCCCCCCCCCCCCCCCTTTGCAACGCCACTGGGTGGGGTGAAGTAAAATGGGGTTTAAAATAAAAAATTTTTTCTTCTATTGATCATAGGCTAGCATTAGTTGATTGTTGGTGATTGTGCTGGAATGTGGCCAAGTTGACAGAAGATACAAGAGAATTATACAGCATGATTGAAATCAACCGGTAGGGTCTAATCTTGACATAACCTTGTTAGATAAGAGATCAATAACTAATTTTAAACCTTTACAGCACGAAATTGTTCAAGCCCTTACAGCATACAGTTCACAGGTACACAGCTAATAAGACATATAATACCTGCTTGTTGACATACTCCCAAACAGCCGAGCAAATAATGACAGCAAACAAAGAAATTAGACACAATATATAATTTATAGCATACACTCGATATCAGCAAATACTTGTAATAAACTACGTCTATCTAGCATATTGATTAGTAAACATTTAAAAATCACAAAAGAAAACTACATAGGCCTACAGCTTACTACAAATAAACATATCAATTCTTCTTTTAGTTAAACAGTTGTATTGGAGCTTATAAAAGCAGCGTTTTGTTTTATGAAATACGTAAAAATACATTAAAAAATTCATAAAAAACGTTTTAATAACAAGCTTTTATGTAATGATGCACTAAAAAGTAGAAAATAAATTATACACTACTATTTAAATTACTATAAAGAAAAGCGTGGGTCACTTTAGTACTTTAGTACATATTGGATACCTTTACTAATATTTGAGAAGAGACCCACGCTTTTCTTTATAGTAATTTAAATAGTAGTGTATAATTTATTTTCTACTTTTTAGTGCATCATTACATAAAAGCTTGTTATTAAAACGTTTTTTATGAATTTTTTTTTCAGTACTTTACATGTTTTATTTACAATAGTGTTACAAGACTAAAAACCATTGCGCGTCTATTGAACGTGATGGCGCGCCTACTGAAGGTGATGGCACAGCTATGGAACGTGATGACGCGTGTGATGTGGTTGGATAGACATGCCTAATAATTCGGTCCAAATTTTAATTAATTAATAAAAAATTAATTAGGCATCCAATTAAGTCAAATTTAGTTTCAGATTGCATTGTCTTCATGGCTTGACCCACGTGCCAACTGTGAATCGTATCGGTCAAGTAGAACTGTCCGAATTTTCACTCCTGCGTTTCTATCTAGACTGACGACAGACAGAATGACGAGGAAGTGAGTTAAATAAAAGCTTGTAAAAAGGCATTGTGCAATAGGCCTGAAAAAAATGGTTTCAATAACAGGTATAACTGTTATTCTTGTGTAGTAATATTATCGTTTTTTTTTTAAACGCGTTTATTAATGATTTTTTTATATATATAACAACTAAACAATATTGTCTGTACGTTAAATATTAAAATGTATAAACTTTTTGTGATATATTCGACAATTAAAAAAAAAACAACTACTTCTAGACATGTCATAGCTGAAGAACATTTCGAGTAGTGTTGTGTCGATCGGTTAAAGTATTGATATTTGACAGCAAGGTATTTGCAGACTTTTTAAATAGGTTTATACCCGGAAGGGGCTCTCATAAGTGTATTGATATTCGTTGAGTGGTCAATGCTTGTTTGAAAGACAAATGCATTGGTTGAAATAGAAATATATCTTTTCTGTTTGTATAAGGTTTCATCGTGTATCGTTGCCACTTGGTTTCTCGATTGAAATTCGGAACCATTCGAATTGAAGTAATGATCGGGTCTTGTCTTTAAATAGTGCCCCCACTGTAGAAGATCTGGAAATATCTTTGATTGTTAGTAGAGTTCATAGCTTTACGAGGAGTTCTATATTAATAATTAGGATCATAATTTTTAACTTTATACTAAAACAAAGTTGGTGGATTTTAGAATTAAAAAAAAATGTTTATATTTTATATATTTCTATCTGTTTTGTCTTTTCTGAATAAAAGTGGAACAGGGGCAACGACTGTTGCTAAATTCACTGAAAAAATTGCGTGTCATTTGACGGACAGGCTGTCTTACGGCTGTACTGCTGCGAGCAGTGATGCTGTCAGTCTAACAGCCTGCGCAAGAAGCTGTAGCGACAGCTGTGTTGGGGTGAGCACTGACCATCACGGCGCGTGCTACCATCACACACAGTGTCCCGTGTCTACGTTTGACACGTGCGGGCCGGATGATGCATTTTTCCTGATGTTCGTCAAGTCGGATCTCTGCAACATGCACGGCGTATGGGTGGATGCTGATGCTAGGTGCTCCTGCAACGGAGGCTGGGTCGGAGACTTCTGTGAAAGACTGGCTGTCAGCTGTGTGGAACTCACCTCGTACGGGTACACTCTCAAAGTCCATGTCGTCCAGTTACAACCGTCGTCTTCTTCATCTCCGATATCAGTCCAATGCGCGTTATGGTCCCTTAATGAAATCTTCACATACGTTTTCTCCAACTCTGGTGATCAAAACTTCAACAAAACATGGGACGAGTATCTCTACGGGTTTTACATCAACGCTGAAAACTTCTGGATCGGTTTAAAAAATTTGAAACTTCTAAACGACAACGGGTTGACCGACTTTGAACTCAGCACATCCTTAATCGCAACATCTACTGATGTATATACCAGCTACGGATACAGGTATTCCAACTTTAACCTCGGGGACGAATCAACCGGTTTCGCTTTCACCTACGGAACGACAACAACCAACGGGCCTTTGTATGTATATTACGGTGACTGTCTACCTCAGGTTTCTAACTCATCCTTCTCTACCTGGGACAACAACCACGTATCTACCGGCAATTGTGCAGCGGTTGCCGGTGGTGGGTGGTGGTTTCGTTCCTGCAACTTCACCTGCAACCCTCTCGGCTACCGGCCGATTTGGATGATGGACGGGCTAGATCTAAACAACGCGTACTATGCAGAGATTCTGGGGTACTTTGTCTCTTCAGTCGGTGCTGATTATGTGTAAACATTGTTTTGTTTGCATTTTGTGTCGATTCCAAATGTACAGGAACCAGATGTTGGAATGCTTGACGTGTTAAAACTTTTTTTTTTAATTTTTTTATTTTTTTTTATTTAACCTTTATTTTCTAATTTTAAACTTTATTTAAATATAAGCAATTATAGAAAATTTACGATTCGTAGAAATGTTGACTGTTTTAGAAATCTTAAGATTCTTTACAATGTTAACACTGTTCAACAATTTAATAATGTTTGAAATTTTAACAATTTAAGAGTTAACTTAATTAAGTGTAAGCGGACCTAAGGACTCTCATATGTCGTGAAAATATACTACATTTTTACATTATATTAGTTTCTATGTCAAGAGATTAGTACACTTATACAATAGTTCAAAGTGCACCGAGAAATGTCCAAAAAATATAAAGCGGACTATATAAGAGCATACTAAAATATAATTTTTATAACTGCAATCTCGCTTTACAATAAAGAGAAATTGAAAAAAGGGAGGGAGGGGGGCACTGATAAGTTCATCACGTGAGATGAGAGGTCAAGTGAAAAAAATCAAGAACGCGAAAGTCCACTTTACCCATCCCCTAGTTCAGTGATGATCTAACTGTACAGCAGGCCCTCGCCTTGAGTCATCTCTGCCCTTTGTACGATCCTGTTGCACTTGTTGGACACGTGACTAGAAGGATCTTCTCAGGTCAACATAATAAGAAATTAAATAACTTTTATCGTTAGGTGTAACAAAAATGAAAACAATGTTATTATTAGAAAAGCTGTCATTTTAAAAACTTCATAAACTGTCCGAATTTTTAAAAAGAATAACTCTTTTAACATGTCAATTAGAAAGTCAAGAGCTCAAGATACGTCATGTGTATTGAATTTTATTTTAAGCATCAAATGGAAAGTGAAACAAATATTTACATTCAGTAGCTTCAACTAGTAGAATACTTATATTTGACTCACTGGTATATTAACTATCGTAAAAGTCGTCAGTAATACCGTGATTCAAAACAGTGGCATAGCCAGGAATTGGTCATGGAAGGGGTTCAAATATTTTTCCATATGTACAAAGTCATATATATATATATATATATATATATATATATATATATATATATATATATATATATATATATATATATATATATACTACGGTGTTTTGTTATCTTTCGTTCATTCACCACCAGTTTCTAGTTCAGGTGAAATAGGTTGTCTTAAGTCATGATGACACATACCAGTTATTAAATTATGGCTAATGGTGAGCTAGAAGGTAAACTCAATAGGGTGTTGCTAACACCACTGGAGCTGTCACCATACAATCAAAGATGTATTAATTAAGGTAAGCTAACCGTGACAAGATGATCTTCGCAGGAAAAAAAAAATTCGGTGTCACCCTCAAAGGTTGTGTCACCCGCTTTCTTCTGGAACTCCCCTACCCCCCCCCCCCCCCCCCCCCATTGTAAGACAACGAACAACAAAATTGTTATATATTTGTAATTAATTTATACAAATTTTATGGAGAGAGAGAGAGAGAGAGAGAGAGAGAGAGAGAGAGAGAGAGAGACAGAGATCGTTCACGGTTAAACTCGCGATGCTTTGCTATTAAGTTCACAGTATAAAAAGTACCCTTTCAAGCCTGATGGTTTATGTGGCAGGAGAAGTAGAGTTCCCCTGTGCCGTCTTTGACATGTGCATATGAAAATATAGTGATCAGCACTATAGGGCTGGTAAGTAGGTCACCAACCAGTTATATGGGTCAGGCAGGTTTTATTGAGCCGTAGAACTGAATGGTGACCTACTTACCAGCCCTATAGCCAGCCGTCAATATTTTCCCTAACGTAAAGCAGGTCAAAACAGAGATCCGCATTCGAGACTTTCTTTAAATGTAGTTTTCACTTGTAATAGATTTGGAAAACTATATAAAAATTCACACAATCTTAAACCAGTATTTAAAAAATAATTTACATTGATGAGTGGCAAGCATAATTGATAGTAAAAGCTAAAAAAAATGTTATGTTATGTCTTGACAAATAATACAACTTTTATTATATTAAAAATAAACTGTATTACTTTAGGCACACACACCTCAAGTTTTAGACCCACGGATGTGTGAATACTAAGGTTAAATAGCTTGTTAAATGTTAGCAAAGTTCAGCGATGTCGCGAGCCACTCCAGGAGTTCACACTTCATCCCCAGGAAACGTCGACTTTCGCTTTTGTTTGTAGTCGCGAGTACCTGTTGAAGAGACACTTGGATAAAAACTGTTTATGAAGGACACACCCTCGCCACGTTTAATACGACCACGGTATTGCCAGATGTTAGCGTGGTGGCAGCCATCTTGACCTAGTTTGCAAGAAGTTTTAGGGGTTTAAAGTCCGGGGTGGGTAATAGAGAATTCCAAAGGTAAAGGCGTATACATCCACGTTCAGTTTTTCTTCCAGGCAGAATGGCCCCCTCACCCCCGCCCCGAAGAGAGTCTGACCCCCCCCCCCTTCGGAACGAAGTGGAATTGATATAGAAAATTTTTTTAACAGTGTCCGACCCCCCCCCCCCCCCGGAAATTTTAGTACGCCCCCACAAAAATTTCAAATGCCCCCCCCCCCGGAGAAAAAAGGCCAACTTACACATTTAAAAAAGAATAATAATGTATCATCTGTATTCAGTTTTACACTAAATAGAACTGCATATGTATAAGTTCTCATACAAGCCATATAGATTGTCTTGATAAAAAAATAGTTACACTTTAGAGTATTATGGCGAAAAAAACATAAATACAAATATGTCAAGCACAGTTTTTAAAGTGAATAATTCAAAACATCAAAACAAAACTCCATTCACTCAACTGTTTTTTTTTTTAAATCAATAAATATAAAGTTGGCGAGAAATTAAAACTCATCTATTGAAATATATTAACCAGCCGCGATGAAAGATAAAACTCAAAGTATTTCGGCTCCGGTCATTAAACAATTAGAAGACACAGATATACGAAGATTATTTTTATAATCGTATTAATAAATTAGATGAAGCTATGAAGATTTAGATGTGCTTAATAACCGTGTACCCTTTTGTCGACAGGGCCACTGAATTAAAGACTGTGGTATCCTTTCCACAGAGTCTGCGACACAACTGAAGAATGGGGCTTGACGCATTGGAAAATAACTAGATGTGCTAACTCTTATCAAATTACTATCAATTCCTTGCGTCTTGGTTTCCAAAGCAATAAATAATTCAATCGTCTGTCAGCCTATGTTGTTATGTATTTATGTATTAAGCCATGGTTCCGAACGCCAGTTTAAAAGAAACTCACTTGTCGCCGTGGTGTAAGGCACTATTTCCTATAGCGTCACAATGCGGAGGCAGGGGGTGCGGTCAAAACCAAGTGACACCATTTAGGGGTGACACCAATATGGAAAAATCGTAATATTTATTGTATAAACAAACAGTTCAAATATAGCAAAATAAATATTAGGGGCAAGGGTGACACCAAACCGAAAACACTAAATTGTTGGAGTGAGGTGTAGATACACCCTTAGTAACCGCACCGGGTGACACCAGAACTTGTGAAGCAATAATTCAACACCCAGTTGGAAAAAAAACCACTAATTGCCGCCTATGTGTGTTGGCACGTGCCGTTTAATTAGCCAAAAGTATTCCGCACTTAATGTAAGCTTTTTGAACTTCAAAGAACGGCTCAGTTGCCAAACAATTTTACAAAATTATGCTATACTTATACGCTTGTTAAAATTAAAAAAAATGGTTTTAATACTGAAACGAAGCAAAGTTGTGCTTTTGTAGTTACGAATATGTGCGTGTTTGTGTATATATGAGTGTGTGCATGCGTGTGTGTGGGTTGGTGTGTTTTTGTGTATGTGTGCATCTGTTTTTTGTTCGCGTCAGTACCAGTGTTTCTTTCAAGCTTTTTTCGCCGTGGGTGGGGGGGAGAGGTGGTCACTTGAAATTCCATAAGGGGGATAGGTGCCTGAAAGAAACTCTGGCCAGTAACAATTGTGGAAGATAAGTATAAGAGTAAAATATGAAACTGTCAGAACTGTGGTTTGGACAGTATGAATGAGATCGGGGTTAGGTCCTTCTCCAATGAACTTACTCGAAAGTACTAATTTGTGTTTCTATTAGAACTAGAAAAATCGACGGCTATCCTACCTATTTAATTAAACCAAGCTCAAAATTACACCCACTAGCGAAACATATCTTACAGACTTGCTATTGTTGTCTAAATGATGTAATGCACACTCAAACAACAACATATTGTGTATGTCGTTCTCACTATGTCCCACCATAGACAAACAATACACAGGTTTGAAGAACACGAAAATTGCGTTAAATGCTTATATAATTTCCTTATAGTATAGGTAAACAAATAAGTGCTCATGATGAGGTTTTTTTCTTAACATCTTCCTTTATCGCTGGCAAACTGATCACTGTGCAAATAGGACTTGTCAACAAACCCCCGTGGTAATTAATTCCCTCTTTCATATTTAAAACATATATATATATACATATATACACACACACACATATATATATATATATATATATATATATATATATATATATATATATATATATATATATATATATATATAGTGAGAAGCCAGTTGGTTTAAAAAGTGCTTAAGCGTGTTATAAAACTCCAGAAATAAGTTGACTCAATATAAATACGGAAATAAGTTAATATCATCAGAATATTTATCATCCTTAATAATAACTGGGGACGGCGAGGTCTAGCGATAGAGAGCTGAACTGCTAAACCGTAAGTCTCGAGTTCGAATCCGGGTTCAAGTCAGTAGACCGTCCCTGAGTCCAACCCTGATGGGTACCTAACTCACGTTAGGGAAAGTAAAGGCGGCTGGGCAACGTGCTGACCACACTATCTCTTCATATACCGAGGTCACAGAAACAAGTGAACTCTACTTTTTTTGCCCCATAGACCGTCAGGTTTGAAAGGGAAACTTTACTACTTTACTTAATCATAACTAACCCTAACGCATTCCCTATTAGAGATAGTAATTCGTAATTTGGTCGTGGGGTTATGTCTTACATCCTTTTTGTGCTGGCATGGTAGAGGAGAACGGATAACATGCTAGTGATAATAGGGCTTGTAAGTCTCTTTGCTTCTCTTACTTAAAATTTGAAATCTCGTTAGCCAGGGTCAGGTGAATTCTCAACTATCATTATCAGTTTTTACGGTTTTAAATAACTTAACAATTGCGTAAGTAACTTTTATTTCTTTTTTTTTAATCAATTTAATAAACATATTCACAATTGGTTTGAAAAATACTAGCTGGCTAGTATGATGAGAAGTTGGTGACCTACTTACAAGCTCTATTAACAAAGGATGATCAATCTTTTATGGGGAGAGGGGTTACTTGACTGAGTTTCGATCCTAACCCTTTGTATACAAACATGTTCAATTACTATAAACGACATTGCTAATTTGAGCTTTTATTCAACAGCTTTAATCAGTGGGGTTTTTTTTTCGTTTTTAATTAACTTAAGCATAAAATGCACGCGCTTGCTAAAAATATCTTTAAGACTTGTAAATTAAGTGTTCCATCAATGAGGTCATGAATACTCCTTGAACAACATTCCATTGTGTGAGTCAGTCTCACTAGGGCTATTCCCACCACAGTAAAACAATACACCGTTTTGATAGAGTTTGCACGAAACCATATATAGATTTGTGTCCCCCCTTGAAATGCTTATGTCATTTCCTTATCGTGTGGACACAAAATAAATAAACATGGAGCATGTATCCTCTCGTGTTTTTGACACGGTTTAATTAACATTGTACTGACATAACCTTGCTAGATGTTTTGTCATTCATATTTCTGCCGAAGTTTTTCCAAAATACACGTTAAACTAAAGGACCAGAGGCGTCGCTAAAGAAGAGCGGGTGCACCCCCCCTCACCCCCAAACTCGGACCCTAAGGTGGAGCCCAACGGGTCAAAATAAATAATTAAAAAGTTTATTCTGAACTGCATTACAGAATGATAGGCAGTGTAATAAAATAGACTACTGCTTTGGTTTCATTACTGATGCATCTGTTTTTGTAAAATTTTGTCGTTACTTCATAATAGAAATGGTCAGGAGAAAGTGATTGTAAAATAAGTATATATAAACGGAGAGGAGCAAATATGATAATTCAACCCGGCGCTGAAATGGGTTTCTAAGACTCTGATAGGAACCTCCCAGCATTGGAGTAGGTTGAGGGTTAGAATTTTGTAGGGTCATGTCAAACATGTCAATTTTCGAATTCGGGTCGGCGTGGTAGAGTCGGTAAAGCTCATGGTTGCTAAACCGTGAAGTCTCGAGTTCGGGCAGATGACGCTCGTTAGCTAGGGACAGCCACTCTTCTAGGAGAGACAGCTCCAAAATCAAACAACTGCTGCCTTGTAGTTTGTTCTTGGATGGACAAAGGCTATGGAAGCAAATCCAAAAAGAAAAGCAGGCCGAAATCGGAGTCAATGGCCTCAATGGCGCATAATCTGTTGACACGTAATCCTTAAATGTGATGGAAGCATGGTCGAGTCGGCAAAGTCTCATGGTTGATAAAGTCGAAAAAAAAGTCTCGAAGTTCAAACCCACTGGCAGATAAGGCTCGATCCCTCCCAACACTAAAAATGAAGAACGAAAAAGAAGAAGAAGAAGAATTCGGGTTCTCAACATTTTTAAGACTGTGGAAATAAACATAGGGGCCATAAGGCTTATAAAGGATGGTCACATTTGGACAGTATCTTAACGGTTGATCCTTATTCTTCTTCGTTTTTAATTTTCGTTTTGGAAGGGATCCCCTCCAACACAATTAAGTATACGTGTCAACTGGTTATGCGCCATTGAAGCCATTGACTCCGACTTCAGCCTGCTTTTCTTTTTGGATTTGGTTCTACAGCCTAGGTCCAAACATCCGGCTGACTGCTTGTATAGATAAGTCCAAGTTGGTTTTTGTCCCTGCGCCGTTCTTGTCATATGTCGATAATTAAATCTATTACAAATTAAGTTCTATAAAGCAAAAACTATCATCCTATTCTGTTTACATTATGCAGTAACATATATCTGTTTTCGCCAACTAAACTAAAAAAAATTACGGCAAAATGCAAAGCGGATTGGTGATATGAAATATAATCCAGGATATTTTGTCAGCATTATTCATCGTTATGTACACCAAGGATCCGTGTATGGTTAGGCGTGACGTAGATTCTGGATGAACCATCGTAGATAATTTCTCTATGTTTCATACGTCGTGAGCACGTCACTCAAAGTCATGCACCACTTGAGCTTCATCAAATGGGATCGGTCAGTCCATGGTGAGCTCGAGTATATAAGATGGGCAGAGGGGAGGTTACTCTCATCCACGCTGTCATATAGTCAGCGTATTGCTATATGCGAGTCATTTTAATTTTATTTTTTTAAATCATAAAAGTAGGATTGTTTGTTGAAATAAAAGAGTTGGTCAAAAATAAAACTCTTTTTGAAGCAGTTTAAAAAAATCCCATTTTGTTTCAAGTTACTATTTTGATATATATCAAAAAGAAAAGTTAGGAGAAAAACGATTCAGAATGGAAGTTCGATCACTCTTGCGGGACTTTACATTACTAGCTATATTGGTAGGTCTGGCTTTATATGCAGCGGTTTACAAAACCACATTCGTTAAGTGGAATACAACAAAAAAATAGCTATGTTGTGAGATTAAAAATACATAAATTTAAGTTATGCAACTTTGAATTTTATAACATTATAAACCGTCATTAAAGTACAGATATTATTTTTTTATTTAGTAAAATCAATCAATGACAAATATATGTCGTTTATAGGTGACCAATTTGTTTTATTATCGTATTCTCATATCAAAATATGTGAATCGGCTAAAATGAAAATAATTTTTTTCTGAAAATTAAGTATCTGCTTTTGTTACAGTTGCTGCTGACGTCACAACAGACGATCGGTCGATCGATCGATGAGCTGATCGCTGGCGCCTCGGCATCGATCGGAGGATACGATTTCCTGATGGACGTGGACGCCAAGGAGATCCGCACTGAGCTGGACATGATACTGACCGCTGAACAGTACAAGGCGCTGCAGGTATGTTGGTTTTTATATTCAGTACGTTGTGATGTTTAGATAAAATTGGCGTTTCTACCAGACGTTTATCTCCGGAGAGCAATTGAAACCTTGGGATGGGGTGAGAGGGCGGACTTAAATTTTCGTGGGGACGGAGGGGAGGGTTGAAGCATATCTTTTGTATATACATTTCTGTTTCGCTCGGGGTGGGGGCGGACTTAAATTTTCGTGGGGACGGAGGGGAGGGTTGAAGCATATCTTTTGTATATACATTTCTGTTTCGCTCGGGGTGGGGGCGGACTTAAATTTTCGTGGGGACGGAGGGGAGGGTTGAAGCATATCTTTTGTATATACATTTCTGTTTCACTCAGGGGGGAGAGGATGGATGTGGTTAGAATAGATGCCCAATAGAAACTCTAGATAAATTCGGAGACAAAAGTCTTCTACCATCGTGTATTAGAACGTCGATTTGTCCATTAATGAAGCTAATGTTAATGAGGTATAATTTATATTTGATTTTATACCCCAAACCCTCTTCCCTTAATTGAAAGACAAAAGAAACGCAATTTAAAAAATAAATTGACATTAGAGAGGAAATGAAGAGAAAGCAATATAAAATGACGTCATAAAGTCGAACACTTTCCATCTGTTCTTGCCCACACAACGTATCATCATTCTAAACGGTTTATTATCTGTAATAGACGTAACTTGCATACCACACCATTCCTTTATATGCCGAGGTCAAGAAATATATGAACTCTACTTCATCTGACCTATGGATATTAAGTTCAGAAAGGCGAATCATACATCCTCTCCCAACAAATCTATGTTTTATCGCTATCCAACAGATTACTACAGTTCAAAATAAGGAAGAAAACAATTCTAGCGCTGTATTTTAATTTTAACTTAATGAAAAGAAAACAAAGCACTTATAAGTCATTCACTCTTAAGGCGTTATCAGTAGAACACACTTAAATGTTTAAGGGGGTTGGCTCTGTAAAAAAAACAACTACGGAACAAACCACTTCTTAATTAATTAGTCTGCTTTATTTTATTTATTTGTGTGTATCTAAGATAATTTTAAAAATTGTGTATAGTGAAATTACAATAAATTTAGCATTCATTTTAATAGTATTTCATCATACCAAATTTAGAAAAAAAATTATGTAGATTGTTTTCTGTTACAAAAATTAGCCAGCTGACTATATTAAAGTTAGTAAAAGGAGGAACGATGATAATATGATCACTAGCTTTTAACCTTGAGACTTTCACAAAAGGTTTTGTTTTCAAAATCGCCGCCGTTGCCATGGCAATCATACTTTCAGAGGGGTCCCGAATGCATGCACATATTTTACTTTAAGTACCCTTAATAGATACAACTACAAACAAATAAATAAATAAGGCTTATTTATTAAGAAGTTATTTTCTCAGGAGCATACCCCCTTAAAGAATTTTGGCGTTAGGGCGGTGACATTTTGATTTCCTCAATTTAAAAAAAAACGACTTTATAACAATAAAAATTAAGAGAACTATTCTGGAAAAAAAAATACAAAATAAAATACCAAAAACAGTAATAGATTTTTGGAAAGAAAGCTGTTCACACTAAAATCGAAATTTAAATTTACAATTTAAAAAAAAATTTATGAAAATATTAACTTCGTGATTTTCATTACACTATTGTTAATTCTGTCATACTATTTGTTCATTGTTTCAGGATTATGCTAATACAGCGGGGGACGACGCTTCCTCGGAAAGAATTAAACGAAAAGCTCTCTTGGATTCCAATTCTCGTTGGACCAATAAGAGAATTCCTTACAAAATAGCCCCCAATGTTTTCAATGCGAACGACTTGGCAGAAATACAGAAAGCTATAAACGAATGGCAGAATTACACTTGCATCAAGATAGAAGAAGCCAGGAGCACGGATACAAATTTTGTATATTTCGACAATGGAAATGGCTGCTACTCGTATGTCGGGATGAACAGGGGTTCTCAAACTCTCGGACTCGCTGGGGGCTGTAGGTATAAAGGTGTCGTCGTTCACGAGATGGGGCACGCAGTGGGTTTCCATCACGAGCAGAACCGTCCAGACAGAGACAACCATGTTGAGATCATCACTCAGAATATTCCAGAAAATCTGAGATACAATTTCCAGAAGTATCCTTGGTCCGCTGTTACTACTATGGAGGTTCCTTATGATTACAAGAGTGTCATGCACTACGGCGGTCGTGCGTTTACTCAAAACGGCCAGCTGACCATCAAAACAAAGGATCCTGTTTACCAGAATGTAATAGGCAACCGTGAAGGGTTGAGCTTTTACGACATCAAACTCGCTAATTTGATGTACACATGCGACGATAAATGCCAAACCAAGCCTGTGTGCCCAAAAGAATCCTTCGTCGGGAAAGATTGCAAATGCTGGTGCCCGGGCACCCCGGGGAACCCCATCAACATCTGCAGCAGCACCCCCGGGTACACCGTCACCACGGCTAAACCCGTCACCAAGACGACGGTGCCAGGGTCCGGATGCAACAACATGAACCCGCTGTGCCAGGACTGGGCCGACGCCGGCTACTGCCAGATCAACAGCTACGTCAAGACCTACTGCAAGGCGTCCTGCCAAACATGCGAGGTCGCGCCCACCACCACCGTCGCCGCCTGCCGCGACATCGCCCAGCACTGCTCGTTCTGGAAAGGTCAAGGCCACTGCGAGAGCAACTACGCCATGTTCATGAAGGAGAACTGCGCCCTGACCTGCGACACCTGCGGGAAGCTCCGGAACATCAACCCCGGCGCCAGGACTGACGCGCCCGGCGTCACGGGGGCTGGTGATGACGCAACAGTCGTTTCCTTGAATTTTCTTTTGATTGGTCTAATTTTGTTGATAAACGTGTTGTGATTATGTTAGTTTTTTTTTGTTTTTTTAACTTCAAAGCGCCTTGCACTTATATAACAATATGTCTTAATGTTTGTTTATGTATACACGTTTTACTATTCATAATGACAAGTTTCAATTGAAAATAAAATACGGAATACTTTTCATAAATCCATTAATAATTTTAAAAATATGATCATGATAGAATTTTAAAATACAAAATGAAAATAAATATAGTCTGCATAACATTATTTTATTATCACATTAAATGTGTTATTTTTAGCATACACCATGACGCAATATTTTTTACATATGTTTTAAGTAAATTGATTTTCCTGTGTATCGCATACAATTGTTATGTGACATTACTAAAACGTATCTCAAGGTACACTTATGTTTTCTCAAATATTAATCTTTAGCATACTGCTCAAATTTGTACAATATTAATATGAAGTATATCAGTTAACAAATGAACAAGGTGTACTGAGGTGTACTAAGATAAGTGTATGCATGGGAAGTTGGTGGGGGTGGCTGCACTAATTATCCCTGTGTCAGTATGTCAGTATTACTGATTTTCCACTGTAAATAGACAATTTAAAATGTGTATTGATAAATGATTTTATTTTAACAATTTTTAAATATAGAGTGATTGTTTTACTTGATGTTTTGATGGGTGATTGGTTTCTAAATGTGTAAAGTGAGACATATTAGACAATATTGTAATGTGTTGTTTCAATATTTAATGCTGAATGGTTCTGACGAATACCTGATGATTTAACTATATTTTCCCCACCTGTTTATTGTAGTTTTTACACTGCTTTTTATTACACAATTATTTCAATAATTTGTTGAATAACTTTTGAAAATAAATTAATTTTATGTCTTAGTTCACAAAGCATTGATACACTTTGAAGCTCAATTATTTTTTTTACTTTACTATGATACTGCTCAATTATTTTTAGCAATAAAATTTTCTACAATAAAACCATTATATTATGTGCTCTTTTTTGTATTTTTTTTTTGTCATGCAACTAGTTGTAGAAAACATTGAATGTGATATATTATTGCATTCTGCATTCGCAAATTTTTAAGTTAAATGCTTGATCAAACGCATCAAGAAATGAAACTAAAACTATTTTGGCAGTTTTTAATCGAGGTACCCAAGAAAAAAATAAAAATAAAATATATACAAAAGAAACAGGCCCCAGAGCATCTTTTCGCCGACAGGCAGAGGCGTTGCGAGGCGGTGGGTGTGGACGGCACCGGGTGACACCTTTGAGTGGGGTGGCACCCAAAAAAAAATTGCAACTTATATAGAACAAATACGTTTTTTCCCAGTTCAATTGATGATTAGTTAGAGTTTAAAAATATTTTTAATTGCATAATGACGATCGCGACGGAGAGGCTGAAGAAACCATGCCGTATACATGCAAACTATAGAGAAAACAATTCTACAATCAGCTGTATTAACAACAGATTATAAATAAACATCATTAGTATTATATGTAAACACTTTAGAGCTTTTTACCGGGGGGGGGGGGTGACACCAACTACAAAATTTAAAGAGGAAAAAAGGGGGGGGGGGGTGACACCATGTGGTGCCGCATCGGTTGACAGACGACCTAGCGACGCCACAGCCGACATGGACAGGTTGGCATCCCGACGATAGGTATCCGACAGCATTTTGCCGAGAATTAAAGTACAGCGACAGCAACTCTCCTGCAGTTACGGGGCATCTTCTCAAGGTCAGGAGCTGTACAGAATCTCACAGGACCATGCAGTGTTTCTTCCAGACTTTTGTCTCGGGGGGGGGGGGGGGGGGGGGCTCGAGATTTTCGGGTGGGGGGGGGCGGACTAAAATTTCCGGGGGGGGGGGGGGCGGATACTGTTAAAAGTATATATTTTCTATATATATTCAATTTCGTTGGGGGGGGGGGGGGGGTAGACTCTCTTCGGGAGGGGGGGAGGGTCGGAGCTCCCCGGAAGAGCTGACTGGAAGAAACACTGCACATGACAGGTATAGGTTGACATCACGACGACAGATACCGGGCAGCATCTTACAGGACAGGCACAAGACAGCACAACATCAGGCCACTTGTACACGGCTACAGCCTGACCACCCTAAAACATGTCTACCTCATCCCACGCCTATAGTTCTCAACTGTCCCTAGAGCTTCCCTCCATTTCATCGCCCGGTATATTACCATCTCACTTCTCGATCCAATAAACAGACTATAAAATTAAAACACTGTAAATAACCTTAACCACCATAGAATACTGAAAAAAAACTGCAGTGGTAACAAATCCACATGGCCACATGAACAATACTAAACGATTTTCCCACCTTTCTTTATAGATTTAAAAAGGTGGTGCATTAATATATATAAAATAGTATTTTATTTTTTAATTGTAATTATAAACGTACTTTATTAGGCTACATTTGTAATTATTTAGTACTTCACTTTTATGACATGTTTGTGAAACAAATTTAGATCTAGATCTAGATTTAGATCTATATAAATTTAGTTTGATATTTCGTTGTTTAGAGCAACCTTTTATGTTTATTGCATTGTATGAAAACAATCACAAACTTGAACTGTATGAAAATAAATAAGGTTAGCTTCGGTTGTATAAGTTAATAGTTTCTAGTGATTAAGTAGTACGTAGATCTAGATCTACTAACTTAACTACTAATTATTAGTAAGTAAGTAGTAAAGTACAAGTAGAGCAGTAGGTATACCGAGCAGTAGACGGTAAAACTCATTTTTAGCGTATTTTATTCTCCGTTGCTTGTTTACTAATGTTTACCTCCAGTTGAGCGTATTTTATTATAACAACCGAAACACACCAAAACATTAGGAAAACACGATTTATTTTTTGTATTGTATTTTTGTTTTAGCAAATGAATAAAAATGAAGTTGCGGGAGGTAAAACTCGTAAAAAAAGCGTGTCGTCACAAAAAGCAAGACCCCCCCCCCCCCCCAAATGACGTAGCACCATCTGAACCCCCTGCCCCTCAACACACACCGTCACAAAATTACGGACCCCCCCCCCCCTCCCCAGTGGCGTAGCGAGGTCGGGTGTCACCCGGTGCGGCACTTAATGGTGTCATCCCCCCAGAGGCGTCCTGGGGACAAACTTTCAACTTTCGATTTGCAGCACCCCCCCTCAAACTTTTGATTTGCACCTCTTAAAAGACTATTTAACACTCGTATTAATCACTTAATTAAGTGGAATTATCATTTTTCTCTATATATTTTGCTATTTTTGCCTTGGTGTCACCCCCCCCCCCCCCCCCCCCAAATGGTGTCAACCGCGCTACGCCTCTGCCCCTCCCCCTACGAGTCTGACGTTATTTATGGACGACCTCTAATATTATTTTTTTTTTAAATGACGTGAGTTGTCACACTTTCTCTAACACTCCAAGCCATCCCTCACCAAATTCCACCCGGCCCACTTTCGGCAGCATTATTGTGCCTTTTAATACTTTTATTCAGTTTAGTTGAAATTGGAACACTTAATTGTACAAAGTGTGTATCTCTATTTTTGTAGCCAACAAACAAAGCACTTCAGTCAGTCTCTTTGTTGTTTTTTATTCATTTGTTAAAACAAAAATACAATACAAATAAACAAGTCGTGTTTTTTAAACATTCATTTTATTCATTTGTGAAAACAAAAATACAATACAAAAAATAAATCGTGTTTTCCTAATGTTTTGGTGTGTTTCGGTTGTTATAATAAAATACGCTCAACTGGAGGTAAACAAGCAACGGAGAATAAAATACGCTAAAATGGAGTTTTACCCAGTAGACTTAGTTATAGTACTTTATAGGGCCTGATATATTTGTGTCAAATGTTAGAGATAACTGAATGATAAACCAAAATCAATGGCTAAATAAAATATATCATTAGGCCTATTGGCCAGAAATTAACTTTAAACAGCAGTGTTTGCGAGCAGGATTTGCTATATAAAAAGCGGCCATCTGTAAATTAGAGTGGCTTCCTGAATCTTGCGCCATAAGTTTTAAATAAAAATAAATAAACAAGATGGCTGCTATAGTCTATAGTAAATGAGCATGATTGCATCTGTTGGAAACATCGCTAGTTTTTATTTACTACTGAAATTTTGTTATTCAATTGTTTAAAAACAGGTATGCCTACATACATGAAACAAGGAAACATTTTTGTATTTTTCAAAACATAAATCCTCCTCAAAATGTGAAATAATTATTAAAATTTAAGGAGTCACCTGTTTTTTACATTACTAGTTGCGGTTGATTTTACCTACCTAAAACGATAGATTACCTAGTTAATTAGTAGACAAGCAATTCTGAGTAGCATGCCCCTGCTGAGAAAATCGGACGGTAAAACCTTAGTTTAGCGTCAGAAATTATCGGGTAATGTATGTTGAGTTTCGGTAACTAGAGTTACAGTAAACCATGGTTTATTTGACCATTGAAATATAAATAAATTGAAAGTCGATTGTAGTAAATTAATGTTTTAATTTTTTAAGTTTAATCGACAAAAGGAAACAAGAATAAATATAATAGTAAATTTAAATTAGTAGATCTAAAAATTAAAAAAAAACAACAACATATAGGCCTATTAATATACATATAAATAATGAAGTCAAATGTAATAATTTAATGTTTTTGGCTTGCAGCGGAATTTGCGACCATTAATTAATTAGATCTAAGTAAAAAAAATCTAGATTACGAAAATAGTAAAAATGGTTACAAAATGTAAAAAATGATTACAAAAATAAATGTATCCAAATTTTAAACATTCTGTATAAAAATAAAAGATGACACCAAATAAAGTATGGTTTACAGTACTTCTGGTGAATTCCGGAAGTGTGTGACAGACTTTGGCATTGTTTTACTGTTTTTTACTGCTAGTAGTAATTACTTACTAGTTAGTAGTAGTTAGTAGTGACTTAGTGACATTATAGGCCTAATGATAATTTTATATTAGGGACATTGTTGTCACATTAAAATTGTCAATAATTGTGACATTCGTACCGTCACATTAGGCTAGGCTAGGCAGAGTGTTGGGAAATTGCGAAATGGCAAGACAGTAAAGTGCGAGAAGGGCGTGAAAACTGTCGGTCACGGGATATTTTTGCCTCGCATTTTACCACCACCCGATACTTATGCAGGGTGGTGGTAGGATGCGAAGCTATCTGGGAAAATTTTACCGATTTACAACAGTATTTGATGCAGCCTTCTAAGGCTTTTTGTTTACATTGTTAAGAGTTTCGATTTTTCTAATGATTTGAAAACTTCGCCATCTTTTGTGTAGACTTAGAATACCACCTTGTTCAAAACCGCCCAAAGACTGCCGACGATAGATCAACTTATTTCTTTTGTGTAGAACACCCTTTTTTTTAATGATAATTAAATAAACTAATTAATTAGGTAAGTTATGAGATTACAAATTTCCTGTATAATTTATTTTTAATATTACAGAAACAGCTGCATTGTTTCAATGCCACCCCCTCTCTCTCTTGAATCAAACGTTATACTTTTGATCCCGACCACGGTGGAGAAGAAGAGGGAGGGCTATATACTCTTTGACACTGAGCAAAAAATAATTCACCGAGGTATTGACCTTGAATGACACGGCAGTATGATATTAAGGTTGCACTTATTAACTATTAGGTCACATCATGTAGATTTAATGAGTAAAAGTGGGACGGTTCTAAATGTATAACGACCCCTCATTAGACATTTGTTTTCTTGCGCAGATTAGAAAACGTCAGAATGTTTAGAATTTTGAATATCTTGGTATATATTTTAAAAATATAGTCTAAAATAATATTCTCTTTATGAACTCGCACTGAACCGTATATTGCGACGGGATTTTTTCTCCCGCTGACAAGAAAACGAGAGCAACGTCACAGAATGTTAAAATTGAATAATATAAAATCAAATTAGGTAAAGATAAAAAGAAAAGAAAACACCATCTGTGATCCATCATCTTCTTCAGTTTATAACTATAAAAGAAAACAACCCTAATCTATGAAACAAAATTAGTTTTCGCTAATTGTATCTCGCCATTTACCCGTGATTCCTCGCATTTTCTTCTTGCAGTTTACCGCCTTAACATTTCGCTTTTCGCGTCTTGCATTTTCTCACCACCCTGTTAGGCCTGCCCTAACAACTAGGGCTAATGGCTAACTAATAAAATAAAATTGAGTAAGCCTAGCTCTGTTGTAGTGTAGCTAATTACAGTAAAGAGGTTAGATTCTACTAAAACAGATCTAAAATCTCGCTTTTATTTCTAGTTGATCTAGATTCTAACAGTACTAACTAGACATAGATTCTAGTAACTAACTAAATGTCAAATGAGCCTCACTAGCAGATTTGGTAATCTCACGCTGTAGCACTGGAATTAGTTGGAAATTATCCAGCAATGTTTGTTGAGTTTCGCAATTCTCTCTCTGTCCGCAAAATATTTTCAGAGGCTTTGATGTCAGTATCTTCAGCGATATATGGAGAACTTGATACAGACTTTTGTTGAAAATAATATGTTGAATGTTTTAAATGTAAAACATAAATTTTATTGAAAGAAGGAAAATAAAAATAAATCCATATTTAATTCAAATGTTGAAACACAATTTTAATTTATGCAATCGGAAAAGTGCTTTTTTTGTCAAGTACACAAAAAAACAATGATGTCACATGTTTAAATTAAAGAAAGAACACAAATCTAAATGGCATCATCTTCCAATTTTGGAATGTGAAGAAATAAACTATTTTATTCAAATTTGATTTAGATCAGTTTAATCTACTTATCAAGATGTAGGCTTTGAAATGTATACAATTTTCTATAGTAATAGAAATTACTTTAAAAAACAACATAAATACCATTGATCAGGGTTACAAAGGGTTTACTCAGAATATCCTTGGAAATTTTTTTTCGTAACAACTTTAGGTGAACTGTCCAGTGTTAACAGATTATAATCATGCAGTCGATTTTATTTTTAGCAGAATTTGCAGTAGTCATATTGGCTAATTGATTTTATTAGCTGATTTGTATTTAATTAATATTCACAAAGATTTTACCAGGCGGAATTAAAATTATTTTATAGTTTATATTCAGATTTTGAGGCCGATCTATTTTATTTTCCTTTTGAAAAATGTCACCGCATTCAAATTAATAGTCAGATTGCTAGAAATATGCCCATAATTCAATGCATAATTTCAAATTTTAAAAGTCGCCCATTCTTTTGATGTAGTCACAAGCTTAGCCACAAATCCACAAATGATAGGCAATCTTTGTGATCTGATTAAAAGCTTTTAAAAATGATCTCCCTAAAACATAAGACAATTTGTTTATTTTTTTATAAGCTTATATTTATTCTACAATGTCGGTTTATGGGTTTGTGGCAAATTTTGTACCTCAATTTTCACACACTTCACCTTCAGATACAGTTGTTTCATTCACACTTTCCATATACAATTGTCTTTAATGACAATGCAAGAATATCTAATTTTAAATAGGCCTATTATTTAATAATAAACCAGGCATTTAATTTTCATTAAAAAGATAACCACATTCAATAGATAGATTAAGTACTAGCTTACGGTGGTAAACTTTGTCACGGGTGGCTGCTTTTGGTATTTATACATGAGAGTCAACCACACACTATGCTACTGATCAGGTTTTAAAGGAAATATTTTTAGCCATATGTGTTGTCAACTTCATTAAAAATGAATGGAATGCAAAAGTAGAAAATAATTATAAAGTAGACCTACTTATTTTTGGAAACTGAAATATCCCTATCTTATTTAATTTTTTTTTAAAGTCATAACTACTAAAAAGTAAACCATAAAACAAATATAAAAACCTTTATAATAAGTTAGCATTTTAATACACTGAAAATAAGAAGAAAAAATCTTGCTTTTGTTTAAAGCAGGGGTCTCCAAACTACGGCCCGCGGGCCAGATGCGGCCCGCGATGTCCTCTCATCCGGCCCGAGGAGATCTTTTTGTCCACGGAGAAAACGTTTGTTGGTGATGGCTGAGGAATTTTGCCCAGAAAAATCGAAGACATACCTGGAAGAAACTGGCCCCCAAGTTGAAATTTAATGGTTAATGTGGCCCTCGGACTGAAAAGTTTGGAGACCCCTGGTTTAAAGCATTGGTTGTTAAAATTTGATAGAGATGTCTTGACTATTTAATGCTTTTATTAACTTTTTTTTTACTTAATTATTGTTTGGTTGGGGATGTGGGCTGTTCATAATGTTTGTTAAACCCAACAAAATCTAATAGTCACTAGTGTTGCTAACACAGTGTTAGTTGTAATGTTGTGAGTAGAACTTTGCTACATTATATAACAGACTACTCTAGGTGTGTTGATATCCTGTTAGCTGGTGAACTCCAGCTTATAGTGTGTTTCAGCACAACTCACAACACAAGTCCTGTTTCTGTGTTTGTTGTGAGTTGTTAAGTGTTTCTTGTTACAGGAAGGAAGGTTATTATCAGCAATAACTGTTTTAGTCTAGCCTAAATTCTTTTATGTGAGTGTTAGTCTATTGCTTTAATAAAAATTTTAAAATCTTTGTCTTTAACAACAAATGTTTTACCACTGTTAGTTGGTAGTGTTAACTAAAAATACTTTTTCAAGGAATAGAATCAATTTGATGTTTACTCTTAACACTTCAGGAAAACTATTTCACCACTAGATCTATATCAAGCAACTTTTTAGTGTATATTTTATAAAATAGCAGGTTGTTTACCATAAGTCCTTGTGTGTAGTCGGTTTACTACACAAGTTCTGGGCACTGCATAGTCAAGTGTATGTTGTAGTGTATAACAGTAGTGTGCTACAGCTTTTAAATAATAACATACAAGTGTGTAGTGTATCTGTAAGTGTTTGGGTAAAATCACAATATAGCGTCGGTTATTGTTCCGGAACTGTACAGCAGTAAAAAAACAGTAAAAGCATGGCGTAGTCTGTTGAGCCGTTCCGGAAACCACCGGAAATACTGTAAACCATCATTTATTTGCTGCCATACTGTTTAAAAATGTGCAAGGGATGATTTTAGTTGCATTTTAAATACTGTTTTGCTAATTCTTTTGTATTTCTAATTATTTTAAATGTATGTGCTAATTATTGCTGCTACTAAACATTGTTCTAGTTCTTCTTGCTATTTTTAACTTTAGTAAATCTAATCGTCTTATTTTACTAACAGAACTAGAGCTAGTTGTCGCAAATCTTCTGCTGGTTTTTTTCTGTGTTTCTTAAAAAAACATATACACTCCACTTAAATAATATTTATATTTGCTAATGTTTTGTAAATTAAACATTAAATTAAGTTAAAACACTAATTTAATACACTTGACTCTATTTTTATTTCATTTATATACTATGGTTTCCAGTATCGAATGTATCCGAAACTCAACAAACATTACCAGATAATTTCCGACGCTATATCATGATTTTACCAGTGTTTGCAGGTAGCTTTGCATATTCTAGATAAAATTTGAAAAAAATGTAAAACTTGAGAATGATGTAAATTATAAATCATATTTGTATAATTTTCATTTAGACCTAGCAGCTTACTATACCTTTTTAAATGCTAAAACAGAAGCTTTAAGCCAAGTTCCCTCTTACAGTGTGGCATTGAAGTAGTTGATACAAAAAATGTGCATACAAGTTATTTCCATTGTTTTTTTTTTCAGAAGTTGTTCTGATAGAAGACTTTTTGGTTATTACAATATTGTTTATTATATATATTACATTTTTCAATATATTTTTGGGATTGTTTATTGTAGATTTTCCACATTGTAAAGTCAAAATTGCTTTGTAGATCTAGAGATCATTGTGCAACTGAAATAGTTTGTAACTTGTTTTTTGACCTCAACATGTGAATGGATGGTATTCTAGCATTTCATTTTTATTTTTAAGAAATTAATTTTACTTCATTTTTGCATACATTCTTGTTTTACACATTGTGGTATTGTTTTATAGTTCCTAGTATTAAGAAAATTGTGTAACTAAAACAACTTGTACATCAATTCAATGCATTGTGTGTGTGTGTAACATCACAACACTGAGCACTTGATACATCAGTCATTAATGTATTTAAAAAACAAAAAATCTGTTTTCACCTGTGATGAATGCAGGAAGCGTGAAACATTAAGCACAAGAATTCAAGTTAAAAAAAAGATTATAAAAAAACATGTTCCTTCATTAAATAGTAGTAAATTAATATTAATTAATTTTAAGGAATAACTGATGCAATAGTTATATCAATATTTATAGATTTAGCTTTAACACACCACAACTATGTGAAAATGTTTAACATACCAATCTAGTCGAAGGCAAAACTACATAATTTTATAGCTTGTACCCTTCTGGTAAACCTACAGAAACCATTGTTGCATACTTTGAACTTATTTAGCTATTAAAAATGAGTTTCCATCTACCCCACTTAAACTTGTTTAGCTATTTAAAAATGAGTTTCCATCCATCCTATGTTGTATTTTTAGAATATGTTTATAATTTATACAGTCTGCCTACCAAAGAATAAACAGCACAGAAAAATGTTGGCCTGTGATCTCCTGCTAGCTGTGATTGCCTTCTCCAGCTTAATTCCTGCTGTTGCCTCAAGCCATCAGGATATCCAAAAGCAGTGAGTTAACATGTTGTTTTATATTGCATGGTGTTCGGCATGGAAGAAGGGTGTTTATGGAATTATGAACTCTATCAATTAAAAACTACATTTAGTTTAACTTAAATTTGATATAAAATTAAATCCTCAAAGCAATTCAGTAGAATAAATCTTTACTTTATTCCTTAGTGATGATTTTCAGACATATTTCCATGTTGATATGAATAGCTTGCAAATGTATGGTAGTTTACCCCTTTTAAATATCTTGCTTATTTACTTATTTATCTGTAATTTAATTGTATTTAAAGATTAATTTCTTATTTGAGAACTATATGTAGCTAAACCAATGCAAAAATTTAATTTCAGTAAAACAACATAATAGTTACATATTTGGATAGGGGATGTCAATCTGATTACAGATCAGTTTGAGTTTTAAAAATCTGACCATAAACAAAAAAGTTATGAGTTTTTTTATGTCAGTAATGGGACGGCTTGGCCTAGCAGTAGAGCTCTAGAATGCTAACCCAAAAGTCTCGAGTCCAAAATCTGGTTTCAAGTCAGTCGCGGTTGGGCATAGTACTGGCCACAATGTCCTTTCATATATCCAGTTGAATAAACATAGGAAATCTACTTCATCTGCCTAATGGTTTGCTAGGTCTAAAGAGGAATCTTTACTTGTATGTCAATATTGTTAATTAGTGTGTCTGTTTTTATTCAAATTTTGGTGAGCCACCATTGAGATTAGATGCTGCTGTATATTTCCCAGGTTTGCTGTGGATGTGATGAAGATCCTCAGAGAGAATATAGTCAGCCCTGTGGTATCAGGGGAGCAGAACATTGAACATGATGTCAAGGTTGAGATTGAAAAATTGAATGTGTTTAATGGTAAGGTGTTTGGTTAATTGCTAATGAGTTATATCCACATATTTACCTGCATCCAATACTAATTTAATTTTTAATTAATGAAAGATTAAAATATGGTTATAGTTATTAGTGACCCTGTTGGTCTGGCTAAATATTGGAACAGTCTTTTCTGCATCATACTCACATACTGATAGTTTAAGGTTTATTTCAAGGACTCTAGTTATAAGTTTATTTCCCCAAGCGTACCTAGAATTGTTGAAAGTGAAATGACTGGATATAGAACTGATCACACTAACCTATTATTATGCTAAGGTTGTAGAAAAAAAACTACCAAGTTCTGATGGGTTGTTAACTCTTTGTTGCATAATGTTAAGATGAGTGGATATAGAATCAACCACATTAACCCATTCATATGCCAAGGTTGTAGAAATAAGTGTATTCTGTTTCATCTGTCTTACTGACTGTAGATCAGAAAGGGTAACTTTTTGTACATTCTAAGGTAGTTCAAATGATTCATTTTAACATCGTCGTCAAATCAAACTAAAGCAGTTATTTTTTAAGTTTTACTTTTTAGTCAGCTAGAACTGCCTCATATTAATTACTGTCATTTTGTTTATGTAAGTATATTTTTTAAGTTAGTTAACACGTCTCTTTTTTCTTAAACACAATGACCAAAAAAAACTTAAAAATTAAATTTTATTTACGCAGGTGCCGAGTTTGGAGACGCTTGTTCTTGCCTGAACTACACATGTGGATGTTGCCTTCACCTTGAGGCTGAGAAAATTTCCCTGAACAATACAGGTAGGTACCTGAGCTGTAGAGTCTGAGACTGGAATGTGTTGACACTTTTCTGCCAAATAATGTAGCTTAATTTTTCGTATTAAATACATTTTGAGACGGTTTATACAGTTAACATATGCTATGTTATATGACATTATTTTATTAATAAATTAATATACCTCTTTTACTATCTTTTTCTAAACCCGTGTAAATATTGATTTGCTTCGTAGTTAATAGTTTTCTCAAATTTATAATTATAATCTTTATTTGTTCATTCTTTTGTTAGTATTAAAATGTAATCTTTATAAAAGATCTACAAACCTAAGTCGGTTTACAATTTAGATTTACAATTTTTAGATAAAAGATTTTTTTGTTGTTGATAGTACTATTTTTATTAAATCTATCAATACACTGTAAGCTCGGGATATGTCTAACACTAATAAGCCAGTAATAAATTGGACATTCAGGATATATTTTTAGTTAGGGAAATTTTTAAAGTCTACTTTTTAAATAGCCTATAGTCTAAACAAATAATTAGGAGGAATGATTGATATCATATCACTCAAATAATAATTTAAAGGAATTACGTTGTGCCATCTATATGTGGCCAAAACTTCTAGTATCTGTTACCCCTCTAATTTAAAGCTTCTATTTTCTGTAATACCTCAAAATATAAGGATACTAGTAGCTGTAATCCCTCTAAATCTAAACCTACTATTAGCTTTAATTCCTCTAAATGTAAAACTATGTGCCTAAATTGCTTTGATGTTTGTTACCTGTACTGTAACCCTTCTAAAACTTTTAAAAAATGAAACCCCTCCCAACTGCTAGTTGCAGTTACATGTTTAAAACAGGTAACTTTTAAGCCCTTATAAACTGTTTCTGATGGTATGATTGTTCTCACCTTAGCACATCTAAACTATTTTCAGGCTGTATCAACATCACATACCTGCCTGACGAGTACGGCTTTGAATTTACATTTTCTCTTGACGGCAAGATTCTAGTGGACAGGAAAATTTCTGGTCAGATTTTGTTTCTTTAACTTTAGAAAACCTAATCATATATTATATGATGAATTCTGGTTTTAAATAATTGTTTCTCCCCCCCCCCCCCATTTGAATATTATAAATCTTAAGTTAGCTTAGGTTTTAATATATAAACTCAGTAGCAGATAAATTGCGCTTTATTTGTGGAAGTGATAATTTTGCCTCGCAAGCTCATTTTACTGTAACATTTGGAAAAATAAAATTACTTTTTTTCCTTTTGAAAATATACAAGTTCCTTTATGTCGCTCCCTTAAATACAAGCTAGCTTATCATATACTATTTTTGTATCCTGTCGCTTGACCGACTTTTTTACCACCGCCATGGCTACCGAAAACTATCATATCATGATTTCTGTTTTTAACCATGTTTCATGGTCATTTCAGAAATGTATACTTGTAGTCGTTATTTTTGCATACTTTTCAAAGATACCTATCTAGTTTTAAAAATGAACCATTAGTGTTTGATGCAAACTTGCCATTTGTAAAAAAAATTTTTTGACGAATCAATGCAAATATCGAGCAGAACATAATGTAAGCTAAACATGAATAGTTGTATTTAATATTGTTGTAAAAATACACAAAAATACTCTAAACTTTAGAAAATTATATATTACGTCCTACTAAACTAATTTCATTAATTTATAAAAAAATTGTGCAAGTTTCAACAAAAACATTAAAAAAGTAACTTGATCGAGGCAACAGCAAAACCCACTCATTTTACCTACCGTGTATTTGAATGGGGAGAAATCTAGCAAACAACAATTTCTGTTGAACGGCAGTGTACGGTCAATCTCATCACAACACACCTAAAAAATTAACCCACCGTCTCAGTCATATCATCATAACCATTTATATACAAACGCTTTTTTCCACAAATTATTTCTAGGCTACCGATTAATTTTGATAACTAAAATTGGTATCAAATTAAAGGTAAATAAATGTAGTTTTTAATTGTTTGAGTCATCTTGAACAATAATTAAGGTTAAAATCTGCTCTGCTATTTTGTAAATTCATTACATATCTGATATTTGCTATACAATTAAACATTTCCAGTAAAGAATCCACCCCCCATCTGTGCTGCTATTCCCTACGTCCACAACTTGGCCAGCCTGTGCATCAGGTTCTACAACCTGGACTACAAGGACAGCAAGTTCTACGGCTGCACTGCCATTGAGGCAGAGCTGGAGGGAATTGTGGTCAAGACCTTTGACCTGGGATGTTTCCAGATCCCTCCTGGCAAGAAAATCAGTGTCCACTAAATCTGTACGAACATGGTTGAGAGGTGTTAGGAAATGGTTAATTTTTTTTAACACAGATCTTCTTTATTAATTGCGGATTCAAGTTTTTTAACTAATGATATTCTTTTTGTTAGTTAGGGTATAGTGAATCCAGTTTTTATAAAATGAGATCTGTTGATGGAAATTTCTTAAAAAAGCAACAACCCACTATTGAAAATGTATTGTGTCCAAAAATAAGGTTGTTTTGGTCTGACAACTGGTTTTAAAGGTGATCGCTTTTAGTAAATTTAAACAAAAGTTTTACAAATATTCATAAATTCTCATCAATTCGACAAATTTAATTGTTAATCTAGCTAGATATATCTTGTTTTCTATTTGGTATTTTAATTAGCTTAATACGATCTGCAAAAATAATTTGTTGAATGGTATTGTAATTGCAATGTTTGAATGTGCTTTGCCAATTTTTAACATAAAACAAAAACCTTGTTTCTGTTTTCAAAAATTTTGAAATTCTGTAAAGTGATTTGCCAGTAGTCTTGAGCTGATTATTAATAGAAAAATATTATTTAAATTCTCATTTGTTGCCTAGTGGATTTGGCTATCTTTAGTGCACATTTCATATCTGATTAAATTTTGTCCATAAGGTACTTACCCGAAAATGTAAACACTGCCAAATTGACATAACATGCTGGCCTTGACTGAACTTTTTTTGATCTGGTAGAAGGAAAAAATCTGGTATGATGAGTTTTTCCTATTTGACTCATCCTATTCACCATCTGTTTCCTAGAAAACCTATGCCTTGATCAATAACAAAACAATTTTGTTTGGTATAGCCATTAAGTTGTAGTGTTTAAATTTATGTAAAGATAATTGCTTTACAGTACAACACAAAAAGTTTTGGTCAACATTTTGAGTGCATCTCTGATGTATTATTGTCTTTCACGAGTCATGTTTACATGTATTGATCATTATATTTCTTGTATACAAGTTTTTTTTGTATTACAACATTATTCAATGCTGTAAAAAAATTTTCTACTTTAATATTGTAGCTAAAATGCTTCATTTTTTTTAAGAACTATTTTTTTTTTAAAATTAGTGTTTTGGTTATTGGATAATCATTGTCCTTTAGTTACACCTTTTTTTAAATAACGGATCAAAATGTTTCTTAGTTATGCAAATGTATATTGTATGGTAAGAATTAAAACATGCTAACTTAACTATTTTACAACTTTCATTTGAATGTTTATTATTTCTGTCTCTAAATCCTACTTTTGCTGTACAGCTTTGAACTGAATGTACAATTGCTATTTTTGCCTCTAGTTCCTACTTACTATACAGCTTTGAACTGAATGTACAATTGCTATTTGTACCTCTAGTTGCTACTTACTGTACAGCTTTGAACTGAATGTACAGTTGCTATTTGTGCCTCTAGTTGCTACTTACTGTACAGCTTTGAACTGAATGTACAATTGCTATTTGTGCCTCTAGTTGCTACTTACTGTACAGCTTTGAACTGAATGTACAATTGCTATTTCTGCCTCTGTGATCTTTTCGGTGTAATGGGGGGTCATGGGGTTTGGAGGTAGAGCAAATGACAGCTCACCTGCAAGTCTCTACTCTGATTATTTAAATTTGTGGGAACCCTTTGAGTCAAACCAAATCTCTGCATGGCACTAGCTAGGGGAAAGCTAACTCAGATGGGTATAGAACATGTAAACTCTACTTTATCTGCCATACTGACCATCGGATTGAAGAGAGTAGCCTTACTATCTTTATCTTTGCTTAAGTTGCTCAAGATAAATGGTGTTTATCTATTCTATAAAGAAATCTATTCTTCAATTCCTATATTCTATTATAAAAATATTTTCCTAAAAAATACTTTGTGATTGTTGAAGTGGTGAAAACACCATCTAGTCATATTACACATTTTGGTGATTTAGTCAGAGCAGTGTGCCAGTCTTACTATTTTATTTATGCCTAAAACATCTATAATAAGACATTCCATCTACACTTTCCTCTGCAGAGGCGTAGCGAACCTTCCCGGCGCCCGGGTACAAACTTTCGATTTGCACCGCCCCCCTCAAACTTTCGATTAACACCTCCCCCCCCCCCCCTCGACTTTTGATTTGCACCCCCCCTCAAGCTTTCAATTTGTTTTTCCAACCCATTTTGGCGCCCCCCCCCTAAGGTCGGAGCCCGGGGACATACTTTCCCCCCCCCCCCCTCGCTACGCCTCTGTTCCTCTGTCAGCATTTTGGGTGCTGTCCAATGTCTTTTTTTACTGTAGTGAGTTGGACAACACAAATGACATGATATATTGAAGCAGAGATTATTTTACATTATTAGATAGCAAAAGTCAGGAAGAGTCTTAGGGAGCATAAAAATATGTATAACAATAAAATTCTTTAACAGTTTTTATTTTTTTTATTCATTTCTATTTTCTGTCTTCACGTGTATGTTCTAATGTTATGGTGCTACAAGCCAGAACTAAACTCATATTGAAGTCTCTGATTACTGTACACTACACAGAAGTATTTTTAAACCAAACTGACAATTTAGAAATTATATGTAAATTAAATTATAACTGAACAAAATAAAAACAAAATATATTAAAAATCAAATAAACAAAAACAAATTTTGTTAAATATTCTGTTATGGTCAAAAAGTCTGGGTGGGTGGACGTTTGTACTTTGCAGAGCACACCTGACCACATTATAAAAAAAAATTATCACCCAACAGAACCCTGACAAAAATAAAAAAATCTCCAGATAAAAACAAAAAACTGTGTTATAGTTGTATGATTCAATAAAAGCTAATTTCTAATTTTAAAACCCCAACTATTATCACTATTAATTTTAGAACGATGAGTATACTAACATATATGCTTTTGAAACTTAGTTGGTCATTAATCAAGGTAACTTAAGACGCCCATACAAATGACTTTTTACATAGTCAAGGTAACTTTAGATGCCCATACAAATGAATTTTTACATACTTAACTTATTTCTTTGGTTAAAAAGAAAGCACACTGACTGGATAATCCTATGATAAAATTTTGAATTTATTTTTGAACAATTTCTCTTCATAAAGTATTAAGGAACGATAAATCCGTAAATACAAAATGAGTGTTAAAACATAATAGCCTCCCTTATTATTTGGTTTTAATTACATCTGTTTATTTATTCAAGACATTATGTTGTGTCTCTGGTAAATGTAAATATATTTTTAGGATGAAGCTATACATTTAAACCATGATGAAAGTTCACAGAAACTAAACCGATATAAAACCGCAGTATACACTTGCCCAATAATAAATTATGCGCATTGTTGGAATTGGAAAGTCTTAAAATACTGATTTTTTTCAACCAGGAATTATTAAGGCAATCTACTTTGATTTCATCAATTTTTAACTATTAAGTTTATCGCTCCAACTGCAGCGTCATATGCTCTTCATTTTATTTAATTTATGTTTGCCGTTATACCTATCACTTCACGGTATATGGAGTATGGAGATTCATTTGCATATCAATATAATCCATGTTTGGGTGTACAAAAAAGTTGAATCAGATGAACTACCCTATTTAAATAATTGAATTGGATTGGGCAATTTCTCCGATACGGCCTTTGTGTCGCCACGCTTTCTTTACATTTTAGTAATTTCCCTAGCTAAATTTAGGGATCCAAAATTATGATTTATAAAATCAAACAACTGCAACATGAAATAAATTTATCTAATTTATAAGAATAAATTTTTAATAAAGTTAAGGGTTTTATAATAATTTTTAATCACTAAAATAAATTAATTGTAGCTAAAAAATGAATACAAAGCATCTATTTTGTCCAAAATTTAAATTATTTTTTAGCTTAATAAAGTAAGTATTCTCAAATAGTATTATTAATTGGTTTTATGTACAAATTTGTTAATTTGGTTGATTTAGCAATTTTAATGTAGGTTGTCTCCCTTGCTATTCTTTCTTGTACTAGCTTTCCTAACGGGAGGTAATTCATTTAAATCGTTAGACAGCCTAAACCCGCCGTTTTCAACTCCTATTTATGCATTGGCAAATTACAACATCCTTCAACATTTTTGTGGCCATTGTTTTTTTTTTAATTTATTTTCCACGTTAGTACAATGTTCTAATCTTCTTCAATAATGTATCTATTTCCAGTCGTCTTTGCCTTCCCCTCATTTTTTTAGCCTTATGATTTCTATGCTAACGCTTATTTAATTTCGGTCATACTAACTACCGCATTCCTCAGCGTATGACACTTCCATCCTCACCTTTTCCCACAAATACTTTGCAGTACATTCATTTGTCATGTCCTTTCCTATATCATGTAAACCTGTGTATACTGTTTGTGTTGGTATGTGTTTAAAAATAGACAAGAATAGAAAGAAAACCAGACACCTGTACATGCTTGAGGAAAAGGCTACATTTGATTAACCTAGTTATGATGTGTTACTATTATAAGCATTGCGCCTTACATTCCAGGGTCGTTGCAATGAGGTCACAACAAGAAGCATTATATCTGATGCGTATGTTGTAAACATCATGTTTGAGGAAAAACTGTAATATGTGTTGTTTACGTCATATTCATGTACATATGTGTACATTGTTTTTTGTACGTACTGTGTGTTTATGTATACATATGTCAATATATATATATATATATATATATATATTATTTATAAATGTATATATATATGCCTATATATATATATATATATATATATATATATATATATATATATATATATATATATATATATATATATATATATATATATATATATATATACATATACATATACATATATATATATATATATATATATATATATATATATATATATATATATATATATATATATATATATATATATATACATACATATATATATATATATATATATATATATATATATATATATATATATATATATATATATATAAACAGACTGTTAAAAATACAAGGCCTAGGATTTTAAGATTAGTGATATTATTTACATTTGCAAACTAAGCACTTAGTGAAATAAAATATTTTTGTAATAATTATACGAAATGTAGCCATGAAAGTTTTTGCCAAGATGCCTTCGTGCATCTAAAATACAAGGGTGTCAAAATTAAAAAAAATAAATAGAATTAGAACAGTCTGGTTTTAGGGAAGCTATGACACCTTGATGGGTACAAATGAGTATGAGTTTTGTTCCTTAGAAACGTTACAAGAGTGTGCTGGGGTGCTGAGCGTAACAAGGGGTGCTGACCGCACTGTACAAAACTCGACATGGCGACGCCGCTGAAGTAATACACAGAACGAACTGGGGGATGTGGGGGTGATCAAAGAGTTCACCAAAAGTTCACAATACTTCCCAGAGATCGGTTTGTGGGGTGCATAACATTCTTAGCTTTTCCACGTCATGTCATCTTAACCGGAACAGGGTCATCATGTACATTATTGCTTTTACTTCTGTAGGTTATTTCACCTTTCCGATCGGAATTTATAAATCTCAAATACGTCCATTATATATTTTCCACTTATTTCATAACATTATGAGCGAAGCGGGAAATATATATTTAAAAAATAACCAGTTAATTTTAAAACACAAAGACAATGGTTTATGTCTTATAATATAGATAACAAAATGCTTTATACTTTTATAACATCCGGTCCACAAGGGGGTGAATTTCGCCTGGATCAAAGGGTACAATGGAGTCGTGTGCCAACACAATGTTTGGAACCCAGGAGACCTTGATAAAGGTGAAGGGGTCGTCAAACAATTGACGTCACGATATTAAAATCTGTTTTTTATCTCTGCATCCCCAAGCGTAACACCCTCCCCACCACTCACCGCCACCTTCCAAATTACGTTGCAAAGAATTGTTTAGCAATACTTTTTCTCAAGTTTGTCTTGAGGAATTCCAAAATTTATATAAATATGATAGTATATATATATATATATATATATATATATATATATATATATATATATATATATATATATATATATATATATATATATATATATATATATATATATAATGAAGCATTTGTCAACAACTTTGATTCATCGCCAAAATTCCAATCATGTTTTTCACTCCTCGTCAAATGACGTCATGAGCAGAATATCCCCCCTTCCCCAACCCTAAAGTAATGATTGTTACATAACCAGGATTTTGAACCTACAATGCTAGGGTTAAAGACATTAGCTGTATTACCACTTAAATCGTCTAAACCAAGCCGGTATTCTTATTGAAAATGTTTTTTTTTTCCCTATTGCAGGAATGTGAGACATAATGATAATTGCCAGCACACGGATAATGTTAATCACCTTCCCCACCAACATGAACACCCATCTACCCCCCACACCTCACCCTCACAAAACCCACACACGTGTCTCTCCCCATCACACCACATTCTATATTTGCATACCGCGCCGAAACCTGAACCGTTCAGCACTAAGCTCACAGCCGCACCGCACAACACAAAACCAACCCGTTTTGCTAAAAACAAAAACAATAAAAAAAAAGTTCAAAGTGCGCATCTTGCCATACCCCCATCTGTTGGCTGTCTGAGCACATTCGTTCGTCAGGTGAAAGAGTATGGTATTCCCCCTTTTTTTTACCTGTATGTTCTCCCTCCCCCCTCCCCTCCCAGCACTACCCAACAATAAAAAAAATATCGGAGTAGACACGCTTATAGTGGATGTAATTTTCACATTTGTAAACTGCTCACACCGAGTTAGTTGAATGCATTTTTTTGTGTGTATATTGGATGGATTTTGTTTACTACAGTCAACAATTTATTTTGAAGAACTTACTTCCACAATGCTTTTCCAGCGTGTATATTTTTAAGTATTGGAATATAATAACACAAATAATGTGACTTTCTGTATTGCGTTGGCTTACATAAGATCAATTTCTTATTTATATTCACATAACTAAATGGACACTATATGGAAAAGAAATCATTAACTAAAAGGAATATTTAAAGTTGATTCATTGGAAGTCTTGGTAAGACGATATTTAACTTATTTTTTGTGCGGCTATTTTTAAAAACTCACACTGGTTCAGGTGACATTAATAATTGAAAATAATTAAGATAATTTAATCAAGTTATCGAAAATTCAAACTAAACAGGTGTTGAGGTCGCGTTTTAAAGCACACACAAAAAAATATTAAAAATCTTTACTTGATTTGTGTTTGTCTGACGACTCAGATGTTGTATGTGTATCGGTGTATGTAAATATGTCATGTACATCTTGCTGAACCAACAATCTTTTTATAAGATATGTTCAAAGTAACAGATCAGCTATATACATCTGACCTAATAAGCGCGCGTCTATATTAGTATTTCATAAGAAGTTAACGTCTACAGAAAATTATTATCTTAGTTGTGAATAACAGCGTTAAGC